TCTTCTCTTCTCTTCTCTTCTCTTCTCTTCTCTTCTCTTCTCTTCTCTTCTCTTCTCTTCTCTTCTCTTCTCTTCTCTTCTCTTCTCTTCTCTTCTCTTCTCTTCTCTTCTCTTCTCTTCTCTTCTCTTCTCTTCTCTTCTCTTCTCTTCTCTTCTCTTCTCTTCTCTTCTCTTCTCTTCTCTTCTCTTCTCTTCTCTTCTCTTCTCTTCTCTTCTCTTCTCTTCTCTTCTCTTCTCTTCTCTTCTCTTCTCTTCTCTTCTCTTCTCTTCTCTTCTCTTCTCTTCTCTTCTCTTCTCTTCTCTTCTCTTCTCTTCTCTTCTCTTCTCTTCTCTTCTCTTCTCTTCTCTTCTCTTCTCTTCTCTTCTCTTCTCTTCTCTTCTCTTCTCTTCTCTTCTCTTCTCTTCTCTTCTCTTCTCTTCTCTTCTCTTCTCTTCTCTTCTCTTCTCTTCTCTTCTCTTCTCTTCTCTTCTCTTCTCTTCTCTTCTCTTCTCTTCTCTTCTCTTCTCTTCTCTTCTCTTCTCTTCTCTTCTCTTCTCTTCTCTTCTCTTCTCTTCTCTTCTCTTCTCTTCTCTTCTCTTCTCTTCTCTTCTCTTCTCTTCTCTTCTCTTCTCTTCTCTTCTCTTCTCTTCTCTTCTCTTCTCTTCTCTTCTCTTCTCTTCTCTTCTCTTCTCTTCTCTTCTCTTCTCTTCTCTTCTCTTCTCTTCTCTTCTCTTCTCTTCTCTTCTCTTCTCTTCTCTTCTCTTCTCTTCTCTTCTCTTCTCTTCTCTTCTCTTCTCTTCTCTTCTCTTCTCTTCTCTTCTCTTCTCTTCTCTTCTCTTCTCTTCTCTTCTCTTCTCTTCTCTTCTCTTCTCTTCTCTTCTCTTCTCTTCTCTTCTCTTCTCTTCTCTTCTCTTCTCTTCTCTTCTCTTCTCTTCTCTTCTCTTCTCTTCTCTTCTCTTCTCTTCTCTTCTCTTCTCTTCTCTTCTCTTCTCTTCTCTTCTCTTCTCTTCTCTTCTCTTCTCTTCTCTTCTCTTCTCTTCTCTTCTCTTCTCTTCTCTTCTCTTCTCTTCTCTTCTCTTCTCTTCTCTTCTCTTCTCTTCTCTTCTCTTCTCTTCTCTTCTCTTCTCTTCTCTTCTCTTCTCTTCTCTTCTCTTCTCTTCTCTTCTCTTCTCTTCTCTTCTCTTCTCTTCTCTTCTCTTCTCTTCTCTTCTCTTCTCTTCTCTTCTCTTCTCTTCTCTTCTCTTCTCTTCTCTTCTCTTCTCTTCTCTTCTCTTCTCTTCTCTTCTCTTCTCTTCTCTTCTCTTCTCTTCTCTTCTCTTCTCTTCTCTTCTCTTCTCTTCTCTTCTCTTCTCTTCTCTTCTCTTCTCTTCTCTTCTCTTCTCTTCTCTTCTCTTCTCTTCTCTTCTCTTCTCTTCTCTTCTCTTCTCTTCTCTTCTCTTCTCTTCTCTTCTCTTCTCTTCTCTTCTCTTCTCTTCTCTTCTCTTCTCTTCTCTTCTCTTCTCTTCTCTTCTCTTCTCTTCTCTTCTCTTCTCTTCTCTTCTCTTCTCTTCTCTTCTCTTCTCTTCTCTTCTCTTCTCTTCTCTTCTCTTCTCTTCTCTTCTCTTCTCTTCTCTTCTCTTCT